GAAAAGAGAAGATATTTAAGAACAGCATAAGTAAGGCAAATAAGGTTTTATAAATTAGGTTAATTTGATATTTAGTTTAGATTAAGATTTGGATAAGCAAAGGGCCAAATAGTTGATAAATTAATAATTTATAAGTAATTAATAATTATCCACAAAAGAACTTTTGTACGTAGCACCGTTGCCTTTGACCTCTGGCAAGATCTAACCAAATTTTCATTTTTTTTTGGGGTCTAGTATTATGGCATAAATACTTTGGAGTTGTTATATTTCAAAATATATCTCTGAGCCTTGCTATCTCTATCATTAAGTTAACGCCTATTTTTTAATTGTGTATAATTTTTACATTCAATGTTGTATTGATTTCTAAATTTATTTACGTCTATTTTATATCGCATGGCATATTTCTTTGTCTTTACGTCTATTTAGTTTAGCAACCTTAATTATCTCACTGCCTTCTAATACTAATCAAATTCTGGAGCCAATTCTTAAAAAAATAGACCGTTACATAGCGTTGTTATGGCATCGCTATGTCTGTCATACTTTCTTCATATAAATTGGTAGTAAAAAAGTCAAAATTTCAAATGTACTTGCTGTAAGATCGGGTGTTTTACACATAAAACCTAACTTCACTTACGTGTTATCGATGCATATCAGAAAAATGCAGTTATGATAACATTGTTTTTTGACCTTTCTAAAGCGCCTGACTACAAATACATAGCGCCTGACTAGGAAATACATAGGATTTTGACAGTTTTTACCACCAATTTATATGAAAAAAGACCGTAACATAGTGTTACCATAACAACACTATATTTCGGTCTATGCTATCGGAGAATTGGCATCTCATTCTTTTATATATTATGATTCGGTATTTCAGAGACAGTACCAGGACTGGAGCCGAGTACTTCTGGCAAGAGAGTCGGGTATGGGCCCTCTAAGATATAGATATAAATCTTGAATATTTATAAACATTGGTTGTTCATATACTAAATACTCAGAATTTCACATATTCGTGAACTTTACAAAACTAACTAGTTATATTTTTTTTCATTTTACTGCATATTAAATATAGAATGTAATATTAGAAGACAAGGTTTGAATGGTAGATCGTCACTGCTTAATTATCGAATGTCTCCAGTTCAAATTCGTTAGATAAGTAATTTCAATTGCTGAGGCAGACGTTTGAAAATAGATTTATTACAATTTCATGAGCTGTATAGAGCAGAACCCCAACATAATTCGATCATCTCATGTAACACAATCATCTCAATTGCATAATCAAAGTAATGATAACAATCATTACCAATTAAATTAAATACAAGTAAATTCGAAAAAAAGTAATGTCATAACATGATAGCTAAAGTAAAATTTTCTAAAACCTAATATATTCGCTGGTAGCGCATATAAATTTCGAGACGCCAAATCGAATATAACACTGTCTTACGTCCAATTTCACCACAATGCTCCTCGAAACCTTTAACTTTACGATAGCATAAATTCCATGCACAATCTCGTGCCTCTCATAATATGGAAATCACAAGTTAAATCATCGGATCGGAAAGCTCGGTATTAGCGCAGGAATAAACAACTCAATAAACGCGTAATTTATTAATGAATATTGGCAACGCGAGCGAACGGCGTAACCCCATGGCGGCGATGCAAGTCGCTTCCGAGGCGAAAAGAGACGGAGCGGCCCGCAATAAAAGGAAAACTGTTCGGAGCGTGCATTGTAAATCAACTGACGGCGCAATAAATGTTGGCGGTATTTTATGACTCGTATATATCACTCGTTGTAACTAGAATCGAATCAGGATCGAATTGGAAATGGTAAACGACATTAGGAAAATCGAAAGTTCTACGAAATTAGTATTTAACGAGTAACGTGATAGAAATCCAGACTACACTATTTACTTACAGGTAATTCTGATAAGATATTAGTATATATTGTAAATGGCATGCATCATACCCACTCATATAATTAAATAATATTATAAACTAGCAAACCCGACGAACTCCGTTTCGCCACCAGATAGTTTCGTGAGAAAGATGAAGAAATTTTTTGTTTGTTTTATATTTGAAAAGGAAAAATTTGATTTTATTATACAACAGTAATGATTTTATTTCGATTACAAAAATTAAGTGTTTTTTCGTTGAACTTCTCTAAGTAAATGAAAGCGAATCCGCAAATTATCCGTTTCATTGAAGTACTCTTTGTAAACCACATTTTTTGTTTTTTGATCTGACGTTAACACAAACAAAACGGATGGTTTTCCAACTCGTGAACAGGCAACATATAACTGCCCATGTGAAAAACAATGATTTTCTAAATAATCTATTTAAAATTTATCCCGCAAACACTAAGCGATTGGCCTTGCGACTTGTTATTGCGAACGCAAGGCGAACTGGAAATTGCAATCGTTTGAAGTCAAACGGAAGGCCAGTCGGAATCATTGGTATGTCACCAAATCGCCAGCTATATTTGATTGAATGAATGATGAAATTCAGTGCGTGTACAACATTATTCTTTGCGGCAAAAATTGCTCGTTGACTTAACCAAGCATAATTCTGATAATTCTCACTAATGTCATTACTCGAATTCTTATTTACGGTGCGTGAAGTTCCAGCAATTTGCATTAGGGCACGATGCCATGCACCACCAATCTTCTTAGCTATAAACCTTGCGGAGCCCGAGACCTTTCCAACGAATGCAAAATTGTCGAAATCGGTTCGTGCGTTCTGGAGTTATTTCGTCAGGAAGGAAAACCCGACTTATTTTTATATATATAGAAGAAGAAGATAACTAACGGTTAGAATATAAACAACGTAGTTTGTTAGTGAATCATTCGCTACTACATTGTATGTTCAAAATATCCTTGGTCAAGCCTCGTAAGTGTGCGACAAAATTCATTTCTAAGTCACAAAATATGCAAATAACTGAGTCATTGTTAATACATTGTGTTGCATTCTGCAGTGATTGAAAAATAAAAATGTTATCTAGGAATGCAAAAGTCACTCTTTGTTTTATTTATTTGAACAACGATCAGAACTTATGGGTTCTATGAGTTGTTGTAAAGAATTTCTTACCAACTATGTTTGTTTTATCATAGATGGCAACCCAAACAGTTATCTCATGTCTTTGTGATGAATTTTTGTTATTACAATTATTGTAATAGTGATGATTTTTGTTGGTGCAGCAATGCCGTATCAGGGCTGTTTTCAATTGGAAACATATTGCTATGCATATTTCCAAGTGAAAACTGTTGTCACTACTATATATATATATATATATATATATATATATATACATATATATATATATATATATATATATATATACATATACATATACAGATTTATATTCCTTATTCGAATTCACTCCAAATTAAAATGTTACTGTCAAAAATACACAAACATCGTATTGATTGATATTATATATATGATATTCAGTTTTCAGGGCAATACATCAATCAAAAAATTTGTATGACTTTAAAACATTTTCATTTTTTCCATACGTTTCGACACATAGTTTTGTGTCATCTTCAGTGGACTATTGTTAAATTTAAAGTGACAAGAATTGGTTTCATTGTGCATTGTGAACAATTATAATTAGGAAATAATTAGGATTATTACAATTACATAGTCCACTGAAGATGACACAAAACTATGTGTCGAAACGTATGGAAAAAATAAAAATGTTTTAAAGTCATACAAATTTTTTAATTGATGTATTGCCCTGAAAAGTGAATATCACATATTTCAACATTAAAATTATATAAAAAAATTTAATATATATATATATATATATATATATATATATATATATAATGACTATACCCTGTACCACACGTGTAGTCTTCATATGTTATCAAATTCATTTTTTCGTTCTATTGACTTCACACTTCATATTAAATTCATATCAATAAGAGTCTTGTTAGATCAAAATTTCATTTATCACAATATATATGTAGGAATATCTGCTCTGAAGAGATATAATAACGCCATTATACTTTAAGCTTTGAAGATTGGATCGGTAAAGAGGATTTCAAGGAAACGTTTTTGACGTCCGCTGTTATTCGATCTGAAAAATATTTCACAAAGGTAGCAATATACTTGTATCAGCTTGCACGATTATATCATATTATTTGTATTAGTTTTTATAACTTTTTGTAGAAGAAGTTTATGTTTGCCAGAAAATCCGATTTGCTGATTTTATATTCTCGACGATTTGAGTTCATTTGAATCGAAATTTAAAAATTATGTTTGTGTGTATATATAGGCCAATTTTTTTTTTTTAGTTTAAATTATTCAAAGATACTTGTAGGGAGTCGAGCTGATTGGGTTTCGGTGATGACTTGAATTATTTGTACGATTTTAGTGCAACTTATATTTTCTTCCAAATGGAGTTCATGGTCAAGAAGAACATAGAAAACTATTAACAGGGCTTCGAAATATGGCATCTTGAATTATGGACCTGGCTCTTCGGACACACGCATAAATAAATTTAAATATTATGAGTTTGAAATGAAAATTGCATACATGTATTTTTGCTTACAATATTTTTTATTTATTTATTTATTTAAAGTGTATGCAACTTGTTCATCTAATCATTATTTAATATTTCATATATATCATTTTTGATATATTCATATAATAGATGCATATTTCAATACAATTATTTTTCATACTTATGGGCATAAAATTTAATAAAATTGAAAATAATTTAATTATTAACGATCAAATAACGTTGTTCAAAAAATCTAGTAAACCAGATTTATATGTCAAATGATAATTTTATAATTTTTTAAACGTCAACGTCAGATTATCAGTTTTTACAATTTATTCAATATGATTTTATATTATATACACGTTTTATAATCTATTTTTAATATATTCCTGGAAGTATATAAAGCTGTTTTATGATAATACATGATCGGTGCCAAATATGTGCTTGAGTTATATAAATATTTAGGTTAAATTTCCTATCAGTATGTTAAAAGAAAATGATAAACAGAATACAGAGATTGTTCATGACAGAATACAAATCCTTAGATGATATGGTGTTGGTTGAAAGTCCTTTTGCTGAAACTACGAAAAATGGAATCGGAATTAGACAGGTGATCAACAAAATTAAACATCTTGGTAATAAGTATTTTGGAGCTGGTTACACCCAGCTGGTTCCTGGTTCTATACCCACCTTGATTGTCTGGATATCAAGCAGTGGTGATATTAGATTTTTATTTGAGATTGTGGATCTCGAATATAATACCAAGTGAAAATAGTCTTTTGGAAAATGTTGCAATACCTCACCTGAAGCAGATTGTTCACTTACTACTAAATATAATTTTTTGGCCTTTATAAACACACAAACATATTTTTCAAATTTAGAATCAGATGGACTCAAAACGCCAAAAGTATGAAATCAGCAAATCGGATTTTCTGGCTTTAACTAATTAATACATCAATAATACTAAAATATTTTAATTTCTGTAGGTTCATATAGGGCTAACTCCTACGAAGCTAATTATCGCAGCTGATTTGCTACCAAAAGCTTCAGCAAAAAATGCCTTTGTTCCAAAATGCATTGATCCAAGAACAGAAACTTTAGAACTGGTCACTGTATGCGGTGTAGAATGTGTTACATTGAGTGTATATCATCGCAGAAAAAGGCAAACTCTGAAAGCTCACTTTTGCAATTCTATAACAACTTATTATGAACTTGGTGGATTTGTCATGAGAGCTGCTTATTGGAACCTTTGGTAATAAAAATGCGTACTTGCATATAAACATTGTATGTGTTTGGCTTACTTGCAAATATATGTGAGTGAGCTAAAATTTGTCAACATTTCCTCAAAAACGACTGCTCTAATTTCATAAGGTCTTGCGTTGATTTGTTGGCTGAGCTGCTTTTTTTAGAACTATTGGCATTTAGAATTAATCGATTTTGAAAATTTAAAAGTTTTTCGAATGATACTAGTTGGGATTCGTCCTGGTTAGTTTGTAGTAGAGATCAAGACTATTTTCCACTAATTTTTATACTTGTTTCTTCAACCTTAATGATTCTAAAAATATATAATTTTCAATGTATTTATGTATTATAGATTACTTACGAGAAAATGAGAAAATAATATTTATTTTAAGTACAGGTGCGAGCGTGTAAAATATCTGAACCCCGACTCGGAAATAGTACGTTCTTGTTCTGAAACTTCAGCAGCCTCCTCGTCAACATGTTCAACGCAGTATGTTCTCGGAAAAACATGCGGCGCGGGCGAAGGAAGCGTTCACATGCGTTATTGTGATCAGGTAATTAACTTTCTTCAACAATATCTGCCTGGTAGTAATTTCCATATTAATTAAACGTCAATTTTGTTATGTAGATATTTTGCACTCACGGAGAAGCAAGAAAACCATCCATACTCAGTCGAGGTAAAAGTAGACGAAAGGTGTGGAATGAACGAGATGTTTATCTTGGATCTATTGAAGAAATAAGACCGGAGAACTACAGGCCTGCTCAACCAGTTAGAAAAATTACTTTTTATTAATTGACTTCATTATTTTACTCTTGATTGAAATATGACATGAAATTAATTTCTCTCTTGATAGACCTATATCGGGAAGGAAAAGTCGGAGCCGGAAGTAAAACTTCTGTATCGCAAACCAGAAAAGAAAAAAAAGAAAAGAGACAAATCTAGTACTGAAACCTTGAAAGAAGATTGCAGTTGCTATGACGTAGAAAGAAACGAGTCTTCTATATCCAGATTTGCAGAGGTTTGATAAACATATGCATCTATTTCAACGATATTAAGTTATCAATTAAAATTTCACTTCCAATTTTACTTTCAACTTGAATTTGGGCACTGCGATGTGAAATGGCAACGTGATCTTTCCGGTTTAAGTTGAAGATTAACACAAATTACGGATCTGCATCTGAACAGGGCACTTAATAATATATATCTTAAAAGCTTTTTTGCGTTGAAATATATTTGTTACAATTTAACTGTCAATACGTCGATTTAAAAATAATAATGCTTGCTTTGACACCATATAGATTTATGATATCATGTCATTCACCAGGAGAAAACCCTCAAAATATATAAATTAAATAAACACAAATTATTTATCTATAATTTCTCCTGATTATACTATTGTATATTATGAAAACAATTTTGTGGCAATGATTTTGTGTTTATTAAATTATTATATTTTGAAGTGTCTTTTTTCCGAGTCATGTCAATACAATGATATAAACTCAAATTGTAAAGAAAATATTATTTAAAAACGTCCCAAACTATTATTTCATTTCAAAGTATTTTTTTTAAATTTATATATTTCAATATGATTCATTACTAGAAACTATAAACAGTACTTTGAAAAAATGAGTTATTAATAGGATAATAATAGCTTAGAATATTTACTTTCAAAAGTGTTCAAAAGTGGTCCCGGAATTAGCATCTTCGGTGATCATAATAGGCCTGTAAAAACAAATATATCGAAAAATACGTTATTTTTGCAATAACTAAATTGTAGAAATTTCTTAGCTTCACTGGTTTGTAAAAAGGAATTCATCAAAATATATACTTTGTACAAATTTCTTGTTCGTACACATTTACTTGTATGTAATATTGTTAAGTTGAAAAGAACTATAAATAATTAGTAGAAAGTAGGAAGTAAAAGTACTTATCTAAAAATACATAATAAGAAAGTCACAAGAATCCCCCCGACAAGAGATGCGCTCAATGTGCACAATAATGATTTTGTATTACAAAGTCTGTTTAAATTATCATTTTCACATGTATCACTAAAAAATCTTTTGTAGTTTTTATGGCTTTAGTGTTTCATTTCAGGGTGTAAGCGATCAATGTTCAAGTGGGTTACGTTTATCAGTTGATCCGCCACCAGTTGAGCGACATTCATTGTTACAAACTCCACGTAATCCGAACACGTTGCGCCATTTGGCACCATTGGCACCACCTTGTCCTCCTGATCTAGAACCGGCAGAGATAGCAGACTTAGCAGTTGATTTATGGGAAGAAGCTGCTCGAATTTCCAGATGCAGGTATAAAAAAAGTTGAAAAAATAAATGAAGTGCATTAATTTTTACCTGGAGTTAATATTTATATTTTACAATTTTTCTTTAATATTAATGTAGGTCGAGATTAACTAGACATAAAAGGCGATATGCTCTTATTCCAAAACCTCACTTGTTAAGTGGTTTAGGTCCATGGACGTTATCACAAGGAGAACGTTATTCTCTTCAGGTACGATTTATGAACTTGTCTGACATATTATAAATGTTAATAAATTAGATGGAACCGATTCGGCCGCATAACAGAAAAATTTCCATACTAATATTGACAAAAGACACGCGGTTGGTGTGCAGTCAGGCAAATTTCTCAGATTGACTGATGGAAAACATGACCTAAGAGCCGCAGAAATGTAAAAAAAAACAATGTTAGATAACAGTGTGTTTCTGATACAACTCGATAACATACGAGTGACGTAGCAGTTTATGCGTAAAACACCTGAATGAACAGCAAATACATGACAATTTGACAGTATTCAGTATGATTCATTAGCATATTGAATGTCGTAACATTTTTCTGTTACGCGGCAGAATTGGTCCCTGAAATTCGATTGAGTGTGTGGTGAAAATGGCTACCAACGTGATACCAAGTAGGGATATCGGTTTTTACTTAAACCTTAACATAATAGTAAGAAAAATACGTTTTCGGTGCATTACGACAGTATGTCACACTTTATTAGAAATATCTAATAATTTATCAGATTAGATCCATCAGATCCATCATAATGGGGAAGAGACTACTATTCGGGGGTAGCCTTCCAATAAATCCTAGGTAGTAGAAAACTACTTCACACATTGAATTGAATACTGAGAATTGTTTTGCTTACCGTTCAGTTTATTATAAAAATTATAATTAAATAATAAGGAATGTATCAGATGGTCACAATGTTTGTTTCTGTGTCCTTTTTTACCTTAGGTTAAACGTGCGGTGTCGTGCGTCCGTATTTGTGGTGCTGCTAACGTTGATCCAAATTTATTGCCATCTCTTCCACGTCGTTTATTAACTGCTAGTATATCTGATGAGAATCTTGGTCGCCTAAATGGTGATTGCGGGGGTACCAGTGTTAGATTTGCTGTACAATCAGAACCTGCACTTCTATTTTGGACAACGGACTTATGGTAAAGTCGAATGTTGTAGTAAATTTGAAATTAAAAGCGACCATTGTATATGCACATACCTACTTACTTAAGTCTAGAATGATAAAGCGATGAACTTTATATTCTCCATTAGTACAGATGGTCCATGTGCGATAAATTTCAAAAGAATAATATGACACCTAATGTGTGATGACTGAATTTGTAGCATCTAATTTATTATAATTCAATATTCTATTTTAAAAGGTATCGTCCGAGAAGAGCTCATGAAGCTTATCGAGAACAAAGACAGTATTTGGGAGTATTGCCGCACCTATTACAAAAGCGTTCGAATAGAACAAAAGCAGTATTAGGCAACTATTTCAAATCCAAACCAAAAGTGAAAAAATGCAATCAGAAATGGAACTCTGGTAGAAATGAAAATCAAAGTTCTTCAGACCTTCTCACGATGGAAGACAAGGCTCTTAAAAAGGTAATGATTAATAAATTTATTATGTTGCATATACAGATATTTTTATATATTACATAATGAAATACCTAAGAATAAAATATATCCGAAATGGAACATTTTTTCTGTCCGCGGTTCATTATAGTTGATTTCGCTATTTTGTTTCGCGCGAACCAAGGTCAATTCCAAGTTGTCTGCTGGATGTTTTGTTCCATCTGCAGAGGTGATTGGGGATCAGCCACGGAAATCTTCTAAAAAGAGGAAAAAACAAGATCCATGCGCTGCAATCAGGAAAGCCTTGAAAGTGAGAAAACCATTTAACGCCTGGAACTTCGATTCAACAATGCTAGCATATCAATTAACAATGACGGACAGAAAATTATTTTTACAACTCACGCCAAGGTATAACAAAAATATCAGAATTGTTTTAGTAGTTTTTGGTAATAAATTTTGATTTACCGCAGAGAGATTGCTAATGTTGTATGGACACAGACTTCAAGACATTCTCCAAATTTGATCGCGATTATTGCATTTGGACATCGAGTCTCATGCCTTGTTACAACTTCCATTGTTGCCGAAGATGATTTAAGAAGGTAAGTCAATATAAAACAATTAAACCTATATGATATTTATCTTTTTTTGGTTTTAGACGAGCTCGATTGATAGCAAGATTTATATACACAGCAGAGAAATGCCATCAGATCCACAATTTCCAAAGTTGCTATAATGTACTTGCTGGTCTTCAAAGTCCTCCATGTTACAGGTATATTGGCTGGTAATTTCACAATTTTTATGTTTCATTATATAATGTTGATGCCGTTTTAGGTTGCGAAAGACTTGGGCCCATGTACGAAAAAAGCACGCCCAGATGCACGATATATTTGAAAAGTTGTGCAAGCTATATCGCGATCCTCGTTTACCAGGATATCAAAGGGCTTTCCACTTAGCATCTAGAACTGCACCGTATTTACCATATTTGGGGTAAGTTTATAAAATCAGGACGTTTTTTTAATATCATAATTTAACTGCTTATTTTTTAAGACACATCATAAGTCGATTGCTGGATCGTCTTCCTGAGGTAGATCAGCATTTTCTCAACTGCATATCATCATCTAGGTATAAAATACACTTTAATTATATTTAGTTATTTAAAATCATTCAAAAGAAAAATTAAAATAATATATTAGACTTATATTGCAAACGTTGGCAATTTTCGGTAGAGTACAGGCGAGACGAATATTAGAGGCAAATGCAAGGGGTCCAACCAGCCGCAAAGATCGTGAGAGCGAAAACTACAATCAGGATGGTAAAGAAGATAATGTTTTTTCGCCTGCAATGAGAAAACGTTTGTTGTCAGCTTTTGGCATAGGCAAATAAACAAATTAATTAGAAAAATAAATAATTATAGGGTATAATCTGAAATGTGGTAAGACTAATCCAGTTTATCAATTCCTTCAAAATTTGATGACATAAGTTTATTTCATAATCAGAGAGATGCCAAAAATGTTTGGTTTTGTTTGATTGACTGAATTTTCATTACAAAAAAGGCTGAAATATCGATAGTTATATTTTTAAAATTTTCAGATTCATCCACAGACCAATTGGAAGATATTTGCGACAGTTCTCCATCAGTGCCACAATGGCACCAATATTCGAGAGGATATACAGATATGGATATCGTAGATAATTGTTTACAGTTTTTCCAACCCATTTTAGAAGACAATCGAGTTCAGAAGCTGTTGGAAATCTTACGATCAATTGATTTAGCTCAAAAAGCAGCTATGAGGTATGCTTTGAAAGTTGACCCTGAAGCTGCAGAGTTTCTGTACAGGGCAAGATATAAAGAAGACCAGGAAAATTTTCTTCTGTCTATAATTTTAGAACCTTGATAAAAAATGGAAATAATCATTTTTATATACAAGATTTAAAGACTACTTATTTGAATATCAATTTATTAATTTTTAATTCCAAGTGCATCCTACATTTTTTTAATTACCCAATTAACATTTCTTTTAACTACTTGCTGTTTAAAAATATTTTAATTTCTGGCATAAAAATGTGAAATAATTTCATTATAGTATCCGCAACACATTTTATGATGTTAAATTTATGCAATACACAAATGTGTATTTTAGAGACCATAAAATATATGGTACATACGTATTATTTACGATCACATGCACATAAAAGTTTTTTAGTGGTTTTTATGAACGTAGTTTTACAGTTCAAACAATGCGTTTGTTTGATACGTTCTAAAAACTGATGTAAAATAAATTATTTATAAATATGACAAAACAGCCAACATTGTTAATTAGAAGTTACAAATTGTATCATACGTGGGTATTATTAATAAAAATATTTGAAAACATGTTGAAATAAAATTGAATACAAAATATTGGTAATGTAGGCAAACTTTTGAATTTAAAAAAAATGATCAAATCGCCTTGTGTTGGGAAAACATAGACTTCTCCTATGGGAAGTTAACAAATATAAAAATTACTGTAAGTTGGTAATTTTTATTTTTATTGTGTTGAACAGTTGATCAATCAGCAATCTGAACTTAAGTCCTAAAAGCTGTTGGGATAATTCTATTTAATACTATGTCGGTTTTACAGGTGGCAACCCAAGCATTGTCTCATTTCTGTGTGATAAATTCTATTGTTACAATTTCTGTAATAGGCCCTTACTTTATTGATGCAGCAAATCCCGAGAAAAGCTATTTTTACTTGGAAATTATTGCTATCGTAAAAACCGGTGTTGCTACTGCTTGACATCAGGCTTTCCGAAGTGGGATTGAACCCGGAATCTCTACCCCAAGTCCAATCACTCTACCCACGACTAAGCCCTGAGTTGTAACATAGATATTTTAATGATATTATTACAATCCTTATCCTTTTTCCCATTAACTTTTTGGTCAATAAAATCATAAAACCATGATCTCACGATTCAAAATTTCATGGTATGCCGATTTCACAGTTATAGTGTTCGTTTTACGATTCCTTAATGCGCGTATATAAATTTATGACTGATTATGTAAATTTTTGAATTTTATGTTTGCTTCTGAAATTTCCCATAAACTATATTTTTTATGCAATTAAGTCACATTTTATGGACACCGTATCACACATTGGTTTTATGTGCCCAATGCTCAATGCACACGTTTAAATTTATTATAGAATTATTAGGAAATTTATGAATTTTAATCTCTTAATATATTTTTTTATAATGTAATAAAATAAAACAGTATTGAATAAAATTTTTAATTAATTTAAATGAGAAATTTACAGAAGTTGGTATAATAAAATAGTATTCCTTAACTTATATATTTCTACTGGATGAATAATTTTCATCAAATAAACGTTATAGCTGTACCCCAGATAATATTTGAAATGAATCACATAATGATGATGGTTAAAAAGTGATTCAGTTACTATTATATTCACCGATTGATTAATAGGAAATGACAAGGCAACTTTCATAATTGTATACAATGAATTGTAGGAACCCAAAAGTTGCTTTAGATTATAATTTTTTATATACGCATAATAATCACGAACTAAATTATACCATTAGTAGTCTCTCCTGATGTTACGTTATTAATGATGCTTCTTTTGTTATTTATTATTATCGTATTGTATCAAGCGTATACATTTCATTATATTGAATAAAAGAATTCGAAATAATGATTTATTTATTGAACCAGTCATTCTCAAAGATATTAAGAAAACTTATATATATATATATATATATATATATATGTATATATATATATATATATATATATATATATAATTTAACTGTGGAAAAGTGCATCTATAGCTATAGTTATGGGCCGAAAATATGAAAATAAATTTTTTTGCATATCTTCACGTTCCTGGGATTACTAAGCACTTTGGCACACCTCAGAAAGAATGGATGTGTGTGTGTGTTTTGTGTGTGTTAAGTCGAATGCCAATTATGTAGAACTTGTTACAAAAAATATGCCATAAAAATGTATTAATTTTGCAATATTAAAACAAATTTGAGGCTGTTTCCCAGCTGTAAACTTCTGGCTTTGCAGTCTTGAGTCCACGGACAGCCTAATAGCAGGCAATATTGATATACATTTTTGCATGAAAATATATATCAACATATGTTTCCGAGTTAGAATAGCCCTTCCTAGCATTAACTTAAAATATACCATCACTATTCGAAAGTTTACTTGGATTATGTGTGGCTGGTAATATAAAATATCTACATCAAAATAGATAGGACTTGAGTTGTTTTCTGAAAAAGCGACTATTAGAAGAAGTATCATCACAACTGATCAGAGAAACTTAATTTCAGATTTATATTCAAATACAATAATTATAAAATAACAAACTCCATGTTCTAGTGTCAGTGCACAGAACTGATGTATTAGTCATTGTTTACATTTTGTATTAATGTGCATGCAAGAAGTATTATGTGCATATGCTCCAAATTTTGCCTAAAGATGGCATGAAATAAATTGCATTGAGGTTTGCCAGAACCAAAGCCAAAATATGCATTTTAATACTTTAAGGTTGCCTTTATTGTCAGAGGAAGTTTGATATAAAAATGTGGTGCCATGGCGTATGTCATTCTTTATGCAAATGGCAAAGAGTTCGTGGCCGGTATCGTGAAAAGTTATTATCATCCAGAAGTAATGTGTATTTTATATAAGTATAAATCGTCATTATTCAAATGATTTGCAGTACAATATGTGCAAGTGAAGTAGACGTTTATAGATATGAATAAACTTATGAACGTATAAGAAGTTTTGTTTAATGTGGCCGGGTGGAACCTGTCGGACATTTTTCCACCATGATTAAATTAACAAAATGTTGATAGTTCTGGAATATTGTTCTTGCTCAATTTTGTTCCACATACATTGAAAATATTCTTTGTAATAACTACCATTGATACATATTTATTATTGCAATATGATTTGTATGGTTCACAAAGATCTTTTTTTATTCAATGGGTAATTGATAGATCCATGTAAGTTATGAACTGGACACGAATAAAAATGAAAGAGGCAAAAATTGTTGGATTGTTAATTGAAAACGATTTCAGCGCGGTGTTATTGATAGTTGGTGTGATAGAATAGTCATCTGTTAATTAAAACAAGACTGAACATGGTACAAGTGCATTTACAAATAGTAAGTCAATTTTCAAATCATTCTGCATGCATTTTCATAACAAGCTATCAATTACCATAACTATTCATTAACAGCATAAATTTATTTCAAGTTGACTAATGTATCATATTATGATCACACGCAGTCATACTATACATAAATTATTACAATGTTTTGATAAAAAAAGCGTACAAAAACTGAAAGCATTCGAACGTAAAAATGATTAATTGCCTTGGATCTGCTGGATATGTCTGGATTAAATAAAATATTATTTTTATTTCAATGGACGATGTTTGCGATGGCTGTTATTTATTGCCCGAGTGAAAAATGATAAAAGTATAATAAATGTTTGCATTAAAAGCCTAGAGTTGGGTCCGATCAATTAATTTATTATAAATGATTTGTAGTACCAGATTTTATCAAACATATTTAATGGTTAATATGGAAAAATGTAACATGTTATTAGAATATGTTCTTAGAAACTTTGAAGTTAAATCTGCAGTATTAAAAGGTATTATATCGTTCCTGTATGCAAAAATGCACAATTTAATTGGCTAAAGTTATTCATAAGGTGTGTAAGTTTTATACTTGCCACGCTGATGAATTATTCAAAGAATTACAAGAGTAATAAATTATGAGATTGAATAATTCAACGTGATCCGAAAATTTGCGCTTTTACTTCCAGAGGTATAATTTTTCATACTCGTAGGTAATTTGTTAGTTTTCATAACAGACCTGTTCGCGCTGCCAGACACGAAAACCGACTAGAAACCGCTATTCATGCTCATACATTACCCTAATGCACTAAAAGGCTGCTTTTACACTCATACGGTATTAAAACAAAATATATTATATATTTATTTAAACTTGAAAAAGTTACATAATAATGCTTCGTAATATACTTTTTAGCTCTTTTACTGGATTTGCTGGAGCATTTAACCATTTACAATTCTTTATATAATATAATGACGTTTTATATATTTATCAACATTTTATTCTAATCAATACATTTTTTATATATTGATATTCCTCATAATTTATTTTTACGAATCATTATCTATGAAAATTTTCACATATTTTTATGCAATAGTGACCAAGCTCTATTTTTACTTAGAAATATATATTCCATCTATAATTTTCAGTGAACGTTATAAATGATTTTAATAAAATTGTGGACAAAACATTTCATTTTCACGTTTACTTTGAATAATCAATTACTAAATTGTAGTACAGTAGCTATAATAAATGTTGCATCAATAAAATAAAATTATTTTAGTTATTGATCAAATTGATTGATCATTTTATACCAATTTGTACAAGAATATTTTATTTTTGTCTTTTAATTAACATGAAATAAATGTGTCAAATGTAGCAATTACAGATTAAAATTTACTGATTACCAATGTATTAAATTATTAGCGGTAAGGAATTTGATTTAAAACCACTCGTCTTGTAAAGATTCCTCTATAGAACATTACAATTATAGAAAGTTCAAATCTGTAGTTAACTATTTTCATTGATAATTTATTCAGCATTTTCTGATTATGAAGAATGTTGATCGGTTATTAGATTTTATTTTTGGTTTTCATTATACTTGATAAAAAATATTCATTCAGGAATAATTTACGGACCAGCCAAGGTAATATTTGATATGGACCAAACCAATATAAAATTAGCCAATAGGCAGTTTCTCGAGTCTCCATTTGTAAAATTGAGCCATTCTCAGATTAGGGTCACAGTGAGGTTTG